TTACCCTATGTGGATGGAAGGGTTCTCCTTCATCATTTGGGTGTGGAGAGGGACCTTCAGCATGGATTGGAGCCATAGGACGAGGGGTGATGAGTTCCCACTGGAACGAGGGACTATGGGTTGGAGATAAGGAGAAATTGTTCCCTATGAGGGTGGTGGGACACTGGGATGGGTTGGATGGAGAAGGCTTGGAGCAACCTGGTCTAATGGAAGGCATCCCTGCCCCTTGCTTAGAACTGGATGCTTTAAGCTCCTTCCCAACCTAACCCATTCCATGAATCCATGCTCACGACATGGTTTAGTGGTGGAATCTCAGTGCTCTTAAAGCTCCAACCTCTATGGTCCCTGCGCAGGGATGATGGAGCAGGAGCTGGATGCGCTTCCAAAGCTGGGATAAAGGGGGATGCAGAGCAAGGCCCTGCAGATGGGAGAGGAGAAGGGAGCCCCAGGGGCACATCCCTACCTGGCAGGTGTCGATGCCACCCTGCGGGTACCCAGCACACAGGTTGTGGCTCTTGATGGCCCCTCGGTACCATAGGCTGCTGTTGCAGAGCTTGGCATCGATGAGGCGGACCTTGGCCTCCTGCAGGGCAGATGGGGACGATGCCCCCGCTGTGGGGACACAAAGGGGGTCAGGACTGCGGGGAGAAGGGACGGATATGGGGGTATTTGGGGCTGAAAAGATCAATGGGAGCCATCAACACCGCCCCATGGCACGGGCTGCATCCCCTTTGTTCTGCATCCTCAACATAAGGAGGACATGGAGGGACCTTCAGCGATGGGACAAGGGGTGATGGGTTCCAACTGAACCAGGGATGCTCAAGTTGGAGAGAAGGACGTGGTGGGAGACTGGGATGGGTTGCATGGAGAAGGTCGGGATGCTTTCTCCCCCTTACTTTTGCCCCCGAAGCAGTGAGCGGCCGTGAGGACCCATTGCGGGGTGATGAGGGACCCCCCGCATATGTGCGACAAGCCGGTGGCCGTGGGGAACTGGATGCTGACCATCCATGGCCAGGCGCCCTGGTGCGCATCCACGCCTCCGACGATGCGCGACACCCCATAGGAATCAGCCATGGGACGCGTACCGCAGGTCCCTCTGGAAGCAGAAGCCCAACACTGGATGGTTAGGGATGAAGGGCGGGCATCATCCCGCCCACTGGGTGATGCAGGGACAAGGGACCCTATGGGGTGTCCCATAGGTGAGCATCATCCCACCCCATAGGGTGCTGCAGGAACAAGGAACCCTATGGGGTGCCCCATAGCTGCGCTGTGCCACCGCATGGGGTGATGGCGAGGAAGCGGGGCTCTCCCAGTCCCACCACCCCACTGGTGTGACCATGGCTGGGAGCAGCAGCATCTCCCTATGGAATACCAGGAGCCCCGGAGCCTGGTGCCACTCACCCACAGCTGTCCCAGGAGCCACGCACCAGCCAGGCCAATGCCAGCAGGATGAAGACATGGAGCAAAGCCATCGCTGCCATCACCGCTGAGGGTGACCCCAAGGTGCCACCAAGGAGCTGCCACCACCACTGAGGGTGACACCAAGAAGCTGCCACCAAGGAGCTGCCACCAAGGAGCTGCCACCAAGGAGCTGCTACCACCACTGCGCCCAAAGCACAACTGCCCCAGGGATACGGGTGCTGGATACAGGTCCCTTGGTGCTGCGGCTGATGTCATAGAGAGGCAGGTTTCATGGGGGGGGCCATGGGGGATTCCATGGAGGGTTCCATGGGGGGATGGAGGGGGTGTGATGGGCTTAGGATGATTTGAATCCCTATGGGATGCTCTGGAGCTCTGTGGGATGCAAAAAATGGAAGCAAATGGGGGGGCACCCAAAGATGGATGGGGGGCACCCAAAGATGGATGGGGGCACACCAAAGGGCAATGGAAGCAGATGGGGGCACCCAAAGGCTCAAACAAGCACATGGGAGCCCGCCAAAAGGACCAGGAAGGTGCCCAAGGAACCGCAAGGATGAGGGATGCAGGGGGCAGAAGCAGCATCCCCATGGAGCAAGGTCCCTGGTGAGGATTTATCCCACACTGATCCCAAAACCACCGCTGTTTGCCCCTCAAAAGCACCCAAAATCCTGGGATTTGGTGGGCAAGGAGTGGTGAAGGGGTTGTCCTTATATCCCAGAGCCTGGAAGCAGGATCTGGCAGCAGCAGCCTCCGTGCAGCCCCGGATCCAAGGACATGGCTGCTGCCCCAGAAGCAGCTTCCCAGCTTCTGCTTTGGGCCAAAAAGAGGTGGAATGGGGCCCAGGTTGTTCTTAAAAGCCACTTTGGGGGGGGGAGTTCAAACGGTGCCAAATCCAGGGAGTTTGCCTGGGAAGGGGAGGATGGGGAAAAGAAGGGATTGGAAAGGGATTGGTGCAGAAGTAATGGGGTTTGTGTGGTATTCCTGGAAGTGGGCATGGTTGGATGGGGCTTGGAGCATCCCGCTCCATGGAAGGTGTCCTTGCCCATGGCAGGGGTTGGAGCTGGATGAGCTTTAAGGTGCCTTCAACCCAACCCATTCCATGATTCCATGACTCCGTGATCCCACACCTCTGTGCTGCAGTGTGGATGTTCCCTGGTGTAGGGATCTTAGGAAGGAGCTGGTGGCACAAGGGAGCTCCAGAGCATGCCACAAGCAGAGCATCCCATAGGGATTCAGAGCATCTCACAAGCAGAGCATCCCATAGGCGTTCAGATCATTCCACAAGCAGAGCATCCTATAGGGATTCACAGCATCCCACAAGCAGAGCATCCCACAGGTGTTCAGAGCATCCCACAAGCAGGGCATCTATCTTGGGTTCAGCAGGAGCAGTCATTTTTTCTCCCTCTTGGTACCTGGTGCAGCGCTGAGTTTTTGACTTTCAGCCTGGGAACAGCGCTGATAACACCGATGCTTTTAGTTACTGCTCAAACGTTCAGTCTGACCAAGGACTTTGCGAGCCTCATGCTCTGCCATGGAGGGAGGAGGAAGGGAAGCCGGGAGGAAGCAGAGACAGGACACCTGACCCAACCTAGCCAAAGGGGTATTCCATAGCACAGCACGTCTAGCATAGCTTCACCGCTGTTCACCTGAACAGTTACGTTACAGTAAGACTAGGTACATCTGTCTACAGCGCTGCTGGCACACAGCTGGGTGCAAATGCAGTTTAAGCTATTTCAGCCACACTGAAGCAGAAGGGGAGGTTCTGGTAGGTGTTCCAGCCTGTTCATCTCCCCATTTGCCACCAATGAACAGGTTCACTGGTAGCAAATATAAAGGCTGAGTTGAAGAAGTATGTTAACTCCATAAACAACGTCAAATGGAAGCTTTAGGAAAATCTAAACGAGTCAATCCATGTAGAAAAAGAACAGCATCTTTTTAGGTTTTAGTATCTCTGCTTAACACGAAAGGAGTGCTTGGCTCGCAGCCTGCACAAGTGCCTTTCCCAGGATTTCTGCCATAAGAGCTTCAAACCAGAAGTGCTGTCATGAAAAACACTTTTCTTACTCAGCAGACCAAAGTGGAATACAAAATACAAAGCTCAGCTTCAACAGTCATCGTTGTGCCCATGCTATCAATTACAATAAAGTAGCAATAATGCTAGGAAAAACACAATCCCAGAAACAATCTTTTTCTTTCTAAGACAGCTGAGGACTGTGTGAGAAAGTACAACCTGAGCAAGCTGAAGTTAAACTAGTAAACGTCAGAAGGAATGCACAGCAAAAATATTTCAGAGTCAGAACTGAATGCAATAAACACCTAGAACTAAAGATAGGAGAAAAGATCACTTCTTCGGGATTTTTGTTCTGGCTTGGTTTTGGAAGGGTTTTCTGTTGTTGTTTTGGTTGTTCGTTGGTTGGTTGTTTTTTTTAACGGAGGTATGTGCAAATTTACTACTGGGGGAATGGATCCCTGTTCAAACAGATAACCGATATATGACTAATATCAGAAAAATAAGAAAAGTCCTTAATATAGGAAGATGAATTGCAGAGTTAAATGATGGTATGCTGCAGGCAGGGATTACCAGTCACACGGTATGCAGAAACAAACTTGCACCCTCTCTCCCATGCAGTGAAATATATAACATGATTTGTAGGCTGGTGGCAAACGTCACCATGTCTTTCCGAGAGTAGCCTATGACAGCACCAAGGACTCAATGATGATTTGCTTAACTGTAAAGCCAACCCATTGAAAACCAATCTGAACAAAAACCAAAGCAAAATAAATGCCTTTTGTTGGTAAAAAACCAAACCAATCAACAGGTGAGAAAACAGAACAGGAAAAAAACATTGCACTGTCTCAGATGAATATAACAAAAATCAGAAACTCTAGATGTCACTAAATGCAATGAAGTTTGAGAGCCATACTCGTAACTAGAAACCTTATCTGTCTGCACCTGCAACATTTTGAATGAAAGACTGGCTGCAGTAGCATGGAAAATATTTGCTAAGGTGGACGCTTCTCAAGCATTACACACTATTTCTGACAGTCAAAGAAGCCAACATTTTCCCAAGGCTCTGTGAATCAAGTTTGAATTTGATGGCTGATTTCTTCAAAGATGTGACGACAGTTGGCAATGATCCAGCCCAATGCTGCTGGGAATGAGCAGGATTTTGCCCTGAACCTGCTGACAAATTCTAGGGCCCCAAGCAGCGCCAGTGAAGAGCTGTTACTGACTCTCAGTATTGTCTCCTGTTGACTTCAGTCAGTCTGAGAGCTTCAGACTGGCAGAAAGGCCAGAAAAACCTAGAAGGGAAAATGAGGAAAGGCAGACTGGAACACGCCGAGGAGATTGACAAGAGACTGAAGTTCTGTGCACGGCTATTTCAGCCTGAAATCTGGAACAGAATCAGATGGGAAACTGCTCAGGGACACAGAGACTTTCTGTGGCAGAATGGTTAGAGAAAAAAAGCTTAACTCTGAAACCTGTGAAGGCAGAGAACTCAGAACATGGGGGAGTGGGGCAAGAGATGGCAATGGGGAAGGCCAAAAGGAAAAGTCACTACCAGGAATTCTACCTTTCACAAAAGGATGAGTGCCTGTCTTGGTAATCCCGCTGTGTCTTTAACTTAATTTCTGCATATATAGAATTTATTTTGTTATGCTTATTTAGGAAAGGCATGTGCTCTCTTCTTTAATACATCCTACATCAGGTGCAAGGTTCTTTTTATTCCTCTGGAAGACAGGTTGGACGTGTGCTGTCTACAATAGGTTTTTCTAACGTATTCACATTACATGTAAAAA